CCGTCCTCGTCAATGACGCGGACTCGAGTGTGACCGACCAGATTCCAGCCCCGCTGGAGAATATTCTGCCAATTTTCCTCCAGCACATAGTGCTCGGCAGGGTCTCATTGGCTGTTCGAAAGTAGCAAGCCACTGCTGTCTCCAGCGGAGCGTGGCTGTAGGGTTTGGATTGGCTCACTGCCAAATTTCAGCCACAGCAGCCAATAGACCAGGTAGAATGTTAGACAGTTGGCCCACCAGCACGGCAGTAGACCGCTACCCACCCGCTTCGTGAACCACATGCATGCATGCAGAAGCTGTTGCGAGCCGCGTGCCCTCCACAAACCTCAAGAGACCCCATCCTCTTCATTGATCTCTTCAATCGATGCTGTGCTGCCACACCTGCTGCCTCGTTCAAGTCGGGTGCTTCCACCCTTGTCATTCCATTTCTCCTCTACGGTTGTGATTGATTTTCTTACCGTTGCCATCGCGCGATGGCAGCACCTAGCGACGGTGATCCAGAAGGCGATGACGGTAGCATTCCTCGTGCAGACCTGTGCACGGGGCTCGACTTGCTCCTCTCGACACTGTCTAGCCTCGCCCGCATCCTGATTAGAGCCGTTGCTGCACCTAGAGAACAGGAACCTGCAAGAAAGGAAGTAGCCGACTCAGTTTCCGATGTAGTCGTTCTTCCTGCGCAGAGTCTTGGACCCGGTCCGTCGGCACTAGCCGTCGTCGAGCGCCCTGCTACCGCGACGACTACTCTCAAGCGCCAAGGTGGCTACCGCTAGGCCAAGCGGTACCTGCTGCCGGCGTCGATACCTGCTGATGACGATGAAGAGCCGTCTGAAGATGATACACCTTCAACCTCCAGGAAGTCTCTAAGTCCTTCCGAGCTTTACGCTGAGGCTCTTTCCCGTTACAAGTCGAGGTGGCGGGAGCAGTTTCCCTGGCTCGTTTTGTGTAAAGCTAATGATGGGCGCCCTGCCTTTAAGTGTACCATCTGTCTGGAGCATGCAGGGCTCTCTAGAAGGACTGGTCATCGTGGGCCAGGAATCACAGACGCACAAACACAGGCGTTCAACAGGCACGCTGGTACCGGAAAGCACCGCCTCGCATTCGGGAAGCAAAACGTTCTGCTGCAGGAAGCTACTACCCAGACGTGAATCGATCAAAACCCACACGCCGCGGATTTGGAGAGGGAGCGAGTGACTGCGCTTCTCGACCTGCTGTACACATGTTGCAAGACCAACGAACCCATGGACACATGGGTCACAATCACCAACCACCTTGCGTCGCGGAAGTTCAAGAACTTCCTTGAGGGCGGATACAGGACGTACATGAACTCGTAAGGCCTAAATTCCTTTAAACTTTTAAGCTTCTTATTCTTACCTTCCATCCTTATAAACCACTAACGACGAGATTTTTTATGTTATTAAACGCAGGTACGGTTTCGGGGAGTTCACGCAATCCATCGCAACCTGGCTGCACACCACCCAGCTGGAGCACCTCTTGCGGAGCCCGTTCATCGGACTTAGCCTCGATGAGAGCACGGACCGTTGCAAAGGAAAGCACATGATAGTCTTCTGCACTTTCATCCGGGACCTCCGCGTCGTCACCGAGTACCTGGCGCTGCTCAGCGTTGACAAGGCGGACGCCTCTTCTCTGCTCGCTCTGCTGCTCTCCCACCTGCAAGCCATTGGTGTCGATCTCTGCTGCATCTCGGGCATCAGCACAGACGGGGCGGCGGTGATGATGGGCTCGAAATCCGGCCTGGTGACTCGACTCCGGATGCGTATCCCTCACCTGGTCTCCTGTCACTGCATCGCTCACCGGTAAGTTTTTTTTTCCCATTTGCACAGATGGTGATTCGGGACAATACTAGCTATCACTCATGCTGCTTTGTTTGATTTCTCCCCGTGTTCTTTTCCATGTGCACAGAGGCGCTGGTAGCTAAGGCGGCGGCGGAGGACATGCCGTTCTTCAACATCATCGATGATGTCATCAAGAAACTGGCCGAGTTCCTTGGTCGCTCAGGACCGTGGCACCAGCGCTTCCTCGTCCTCCAAGACGTCTTCCTCTCGACGTGCTTGGAGCTGCAGGGTATTCACCAAGTCAGATGGCTCTCACGCGGTGAGGCCATCCGACGGCTAGTGAAGGTCTTGCCAGCCATCGTCGTCATGCTGTCCGAGTTTGCCGACGACCGTCTTTACAAGATGTTCACGAGCTACATGTTTTGGTTTGTGCTCATGTTTCTTGCTGATGTTCATGAGCAGATGAACATTCTCAACAAGACTTTCCAGACCCGCGAGGTAAGTTTCGTCACATGGTGCTCCTAAACCGCTACTGACGAACCATTGTTGTCTTACCTGTATTCTCAAACCCCTTCCCGCAGCTGGACATGTCAACGATTCACGCGTTGGTCTCCCGCGTGATGTCCCTCCTCGAAAGCCGCTACGTCGACTGCGGCGACGACTTCAACGGGGGCGCGAAAGACCTGCTCACGGCCTTCCTCGCCCGTCACGGTCCTGGTGGTACGCGCAGCGTCACTGTCGAGGGCGTCGATTCCGATGGGCGCCCGAGTCGATTCACCTTTGATCTGCATGAGCAGCCCTTGGATGGCTACCCGGGTGAGGGCAAGCACGACGATTGTGTCGTGGCGTGCATGGCGCTGGCCGAAGGCATGGTGCAGAACCTGGACGAGCGGCTGGGGGACTTGAAGCAGCTGGGTGGTTTGATGCTGTTCTGTGCGGACCAGTGGCCAAAGGGGTGGGAACGTGGTCCACAGAAGGCCCAATGTCTGGAGTGGTTCGGGATGATGGTCGACCTCTACCATACAGGGGAAGCCGAAGAAATTCTTCCACGTATCTCACATGTCTTTAACCCCGAGGCTTGCATGATTTGTTGATGTTGTCTGCTCTACCCTACTGTACTAATACTCTCCTCGTTCTCCCTCCTACCCTTCCCCTACTGGCAGGCATCAACAAGCAAGCGGCTGTGCTGGAGATCCCCCATTTCTGCCCCGTCCTTGCTGCCCTGCCAAAGGGTGACATGGGTTTCTACATCGGCTTGATGACCATGCTGAAGTCTCCAGATTGGGAGGATAGCTTCCCCAATCTCGTCAATCTGTGGTACGCTACGGCAGTTCTTCCCCTGAGCACAGTGGAATGTGAACGAGGGTTCTCCCGCCAGATTGTGATTAAGAGCTGGCTGCGGGGCAGCATGAAGGACTCACGCCTTGGAGACTTGATGTGTATGAGCCTGCTAGACTACGACTCAGACTGGGATGCCATCATTGACATCTGGAGAGCCTACAAGAAGAGGAAGCCCTACAGCACTGCCCCACAGAGCAGAGCCCAGAAGAGTAGGAAGGGGAAAGAGAAGGAGGACGATTCCCCTGTAGTCCACGTCAGCGTGCAGGCAGAGGAGGATGCTTAAGTAGGTCCTAGTATGCCCATGTTAAATTGTAAACCCTTGTCTTTAAAAAGATAGTAATAATGGGCATATAGTTGAACAACGTGTTTTTTTTATGTAACACTGTTTTTTCAGCGCAAATTTTTTACAACACCTTGATTGATCAGCATAAGTTTCTTTGCGAGGCCTGAAAAAATAGTGAGGCAAGGGGGGGGGGGGGGGGGACCCTGAGCGATCAGCGTGCCCCAAAACGAATCTGAGGCCCTGGTTCTAGGTTTCTCACACTAGTGATTATCCTTGCATTCTAACACCTTCCTCGCCCAAGCATAGAACAAGATCAGGGAGTGCCTTTGACCCCATACGCGATTTCATTAGAAGCATTTTTAAATTCTAAGTCAAGAATCAACTCCATAAAATGAAATAAATGGCTGGTGGTATGAGGTCGCATAGTAGATTTTTGTGATTGGTTCCATCCGTTGTGTATAGGATGGCTAGTCGAAGTGAGTGAAGCTTTAGTACAAAATTGTAATACCACATGCGTACTAGTTGTCTGTTATGATGCCTTGTCCAATAGCGAGTTCCAAGCCTCGCACGAAGTCAATTTCTGGTGCAACTGGGATTGAAAGTTGGCGGGAAGCTCGTTTCCCACCCCACGAGCGACAGGAGTGCGACCTGTCATCCCTAACAACAGAATCTTTTCCCCTGCCCTGTCGTGCATCTCAATGGCATATTTTCATTATCGGACGGCCAAAACAGAGGTTTCTGGCATCTATCGCTTTCGTATTGTTGGCCACAGACAGCACTACAGTTCAGAACCCCGGCCAATTGACGCAAATTTTTGTTGCTGCTGGCTGGAGCAGAGTAGTAAGGGGGAGCTCTTGGCCCGTGTCAAGCTCTGTGTTGGTGAAATGGACGGAAGGGATCGGAACTTTGCTGAGGGCGGGTCCCAATAGTTCACGTTCTATTCATTTCGTGAAAAGTAACCCGATTTTAACAAGCGACACCCTGTTTAAGGTTTCGCCAGGACACGTCTGAAATATTGACGTAACCTGGGACACCTTTCACATGCGTCGGGCCATGTACCAAATTTCGGATTGCAAACGTAAAAAAGCCGGAAGGTGCAAGATTCGGGGACGGGGTTCCAAGTGAGTCGCGCCTGGATATCGCCCCGCTGACGATGACGAAAACCGGGCGATGTCGGTTGCTAGCGGGATGGGTTTCCCCGCCTGCTGTCTTTTGCGCGGTTTGCGAAACTTATGTTTCGCGCAGGCTTACATTTGGTAACTGCGTTTGGGGCTGTTGCGCGCAGCTCGGTTTTTTCACATGTGGACAATTGGCGTCCCGCTTGTGCGCCACGTGCGCACAGGGACACGATTACAAAGATTTTCGGAAACGGAATCGTTTCAGGGATTTGTACCGGGACTCGTAAAATCGTGTCCCGTACCGTGAAATGAACTATTGGGACCCGCCCTGATGTGGCTAAATCTACAGTGCCAATATCTGACCTCAGTTACAGTACTTGACACCGACCAAGAACACTCCCTCCGCACAGCCAGCCACAGCCTTTTTCAAACTGGGCGAAATGGACACAAGCCACAAAACTTCCTGCTTGTTTTCTGCTCTGAGACTCCATTCTCTGGTTCAGGGGCCTGGTTTCTTGAATTAGGAGTGAAACACTTGACAGCTCTATTCAGCCACCAGAGCATAGCAACCTTGGAGCCATTATTTGCTGCGATCAGCAACTGCACTACATCCTGAAAATATTGTTTCTTCCCTTACGATTTCAGCCATGGCCACCAAAGTCTACGTCATGTAAGTGAAATCGGGAACTTGACTCCACGTCTTGCAGCAGCGTCGAGATCGCAATGGCGCTTGCGCTACGTTCAAACGTAATTCTAGCTCTACATGTAACACGACGTCACCGGGCCTCCGCTTTCACCACTTCCACTCGCTCTATCGCTTCACAATTTCTGGTTGTAAGACGTGAAGAGTCTGCGGTTTTTTGTCTTGCAGTTTCTATTCCATGTACGGCCATGTGGCTGCACTAGCCGAAGAGATCAAGAAGGGAGCAGAGTCCGTGGAGGGGGTCGAAGTCTCCATCTTTCAGGTGAGGCAAGCGGATAGTTCAGCAGAGCAGAGCTGCAACGGGTAATGCTCCGCCATTTCCCCGTGTTTTGTTTTATAACCAGCCTTTGCTCAGCCTCCTGCTTCCAACTGTTCCTTTTGCAGCTTCACACTTTTTTTTTCAGATTCACACTCTTTCTTTCAGCTTCAGACTCCTTCTTTCCTCTCGGATTGCCTTGTGATCGTCTGGGTATGGTCGTCGACGTGACCATACCTCCAATTTCACGCCCCCGGAATCTTCCAGTTTTACATTCCCATTGCGGGGGTGCACAATTTCGCTGCCTGACGTTCCCTTGGCTGAGTTTCAGTTCCCTAAGACTCTTATCAGAGGGCGTCCTCGCTACGAGGATGCACGCTCCGCCGAAGCCGAACATCCCGTCGGTCGACGACGTGCACAGCCTCCCTGACGCCGACTGCTTCCTCTGTCTGTCCTCCTGTCCGCTCCCTGCATATTCTCCCCTGGCAATGCATTTCCAGGTCCCTGAGACTCTGTCGGAGGAAGTCCTCGCTAAGATGCACGCGCCGCCGAAGCCGGACATTCCATCGATCGACGTGCACAACCTCCCTGACGCCGACTGCTTCCTCTTCGGCTTCCCCACGCGCTACGGCATGATGGCTGCTCAGATGAAGGCCTTTTTTGACGCCACCGGCAGCCTGTGGAGAACGCAAGCGCTGGCTGGCAAGCCTGCCGGTTTCTTCTTTAGCACGGGGTCGCAGGGAGGCGGCCAGGAGACCACTGCGTAAGTTGTCAATATAGAATAAGCATGCAAGCAGATGTGTCGTCCGTAATGCTGACTGACGGCAGAAAGCAACTCGCACCAGCCTCGCAATGCCGTTCTGGCTGTGGCCAGCCCCCACTCCCCCCCCCCCCCCCCCCCTCTTCCCCCCTTCCCAACTCCTCCCCCCTCCCCGACTCTCCATTTCCCACTGATGTGAATTCGTCAGTCGCAATGGAAATTTCACGTACGAGGCATGCCATGCAGCATCTCTCCTTGTTGCTTGTGACATTGTTCCCACAGAGAACCCAAGACCATTGATCCATCCCCTCATGATTTGCTCCTTCCCGTTCCCTCACAGGCTCACTGCCGTCACGCAGCTGACGCATCATGGTATGCTCTTTGTTCCCATTGGATACACCTATGGCGCCAACATGTTTGTCCTGGATGAAGTGAAGGGAGGGTCACCCTATGGTGCAGGCACTCTTGCCGGTGATGGTACTCGCCAGCCCACGCAGATTGAGCTGGAGCAGGCTTTTTACCAAGGCCAGTACACTGCCAAGATTGCTAAGAAGCTGAAGAAGGGTTCTGAGTAAAGGAGTGCAATGCTTTCTGCAAACTCTATTTCTTGTATTTCCTCCCCTTACATGTTTCCTTGTATTACTTCATAATAAGCTATGCGTTTTGCTTACATGAAGTATGATGAATAAGTTCGAATAATGGTCTACTTGGCACAATAAATGAATGTTCAGTGTCCACTCCAGCCCTCCAAGCTGATTGCTGGCCGTTGCTCGACAGTTCTCCCCTAACGTCCAGTTTCCCGCCAATATTCCTGGTCAGAGGGGAACAGGCGAACAGAGTTGTCGCCAAGCTCTGAAAATTGAAATGCGCCATGAGACGACCTCAGCGAAAGAATGACCTGGCGGAGCGATGGTTTCCAGCAACGAATGTGATTGGCGTAGGCGCACCTCCCTGCGCGAATCACCCCCCAACACAGCCTTGAAAATGCCGTGCGCCTCTGATGTCCCACGCTTGAGTTATGTCGTGCTTGGTTCTGCGCTCCTCCGCCGACGAGTCCGCATTCTCTCCGCGCGCACGCCATTTCCTCCCCCTTGGTCTGCGGACAAGAGTCGCAGCGCAAGTCCGTGGCGACGGTTTGAGCCGTCGCTGCGACGGTGAAATCCAAGTTTGCGACACCACTCACTCCTCCATCACCTGCTCGTCTGCTTCTCTGTTCCTCTCGCCTTCTCCGCTTTTGGGATTCTCCCGCTTCAGATTTGTTTAGGCTGGTCTCTCTCAAATGAGATGTCTACTTACCGTTTCAGGCTATTAGTTCCGGCTATCAGTCTCAGCTGCGACTGCGTGCCAATCGCCTCGTTTGGCTCTCTCTGTTCGTTTAACCTCCGCCAGACACTCGCTTTCAGGCTTAAAAAACAGAACTAGAAAAATACAGCTCTTACCTTTTTGGAGCGACGGAATCTGCCACAAATCAGCTCGCTTTCGCCGACCTCCGGCTCTGTTTGAGCCTTCCATTCCAGTTTTCGCTTGAATCGAAGCACCAAGTCAATCTTATCGCCCACCATTCGTGGGTTAGTCGTCCTTAGCATTGAGCAGTCTTCTCGAGTTATCTTCAGCGTTCCGTAGACTCTCCGGGACCTCCTCAACGCGGAGCAATTTTCGCGGAAGCTGCAGCCGCTGGACTAGTGCCATTTGAAGGTCTGTTCAGCTGGTTAATGAGACCAGTTTAGGAGCAAGTCTGCGTCGCGGGCGAGTCCGGCTCGAAAGACGAGTTGAATCGGGGAGACGAGTGTCAGTGCGTACAGCTGCTAGCTAATCGAGCTCGGAACGGAAAACAGTCCGGCTGAAAGGAAAGGCCAGCGGAAAGACGAGTCGAATCGGGGAGACGAGTTCTGCTTGTACAGCTGATCGAGCTCGGAACGATGTGGGGAGCGGCGGGCAGAACGAACGCTCAGAAGATTCAGGTGCGATCCGACCGGTCCTATCCGCGCTTCCGTTCGGCCTCTACCTTATGTTAATGCGTTAACACGTAGATTGAGGATTCCGGCTCGAATGCCATCCCCTCTCGCCCCCCTCTCCTCCTCCCCGCCGGCCTTCCAACACCACATTCCAACCCCCATCGCAGACAATATTCAACAAGTTCGTGGGCGGCTCGGCGCGCAGCGATGGCATTGTGGTGGACGAAGCGGAGCTCCAGCGGCACCAGCAGCTGGAGCGGCTGTACAACACGACCAAGTCGGCTAAGGTAGGGATGGGTTGTCAGGGCAAGTGAGTGAGCCAGACACTTGAGTAAACTCGGAAGCTGCAGTGGCACCAGCAGCTGAAGCGGCTGTACAACACGACCAAGTCGGCTAAGGTGTATTTTAAGTCGACTCAAAATACGGCTGCATAACATGACCATGTCGGCTAAGGTAGGATGGGTTGTCAGGGCAAGTGAGTGAGCCAGACACGTGAGCATGGCCATGTCAGCCAAGGTAGGAATGGTCTGTACAGGTGAGCAGCAGTGATGGGTACAGCTACAGGATGGTAGGACTGATGAGCAAAGGTGAGAAGCAGCGATGGCATTGTGAAAGGCAATGAGAGCATCAGCAATGCGAATTTGGAGCCCGCTTCCGTGTGTAATGAGTCGATTTTTGAGTCGACTCAAAAATCGACTCATTACACACCGCTTCCGCGCATCCCTCTTTCTCCTCTTCCTCCTTGGCCGGCCCCCCTGTCTCCCCGTCCCGTTCTGCGTTTTGAGGCGCCTCAAAACTAGACTCTTTTCCCTCTTCATCCCGTGCCGGGCCCCCTTTCTCCCCGTCCAGGTGTATTTTGAGTCGACTCAAAATACACCTGGATTTGGAGCCCGCTTCCGCGCATCCCTCTTTCTCTTCCTCCTCCTTGGCCGGCCCCCCTTCCTCCCCGTCCGCTCTGCGCGCCACAGCACTTCCAGCGCGAGATGGTGAGACGGATTGTATTGAGGGCATCATCAATGCGAATCTATCCCCACTCCTGTCCTCCCCCCTTCCCCCGTCATCCCCTGTTTGCGCCCCACAGCACTTCCAGCGCGAGATGGTGAAGGGCATCGAGGGCATCATCAATGCGAATCTGAAGCACATCGAATCAAGTAAGACGCCGTCGCACATTGGGTCGAGTGATACTCTAGATCTCAGCATTGGCCTTGACATGGGCGTGGGCATGGGCATGGGCATGGGCATGGGCATGGGCGTGGGCGTGGGCATGGGCATGGGCATGGGCATGGGCATGGGCATGGGCATGGGCATGGGCGTGGGCGTGGGCGTGGGCGTGGGCATGGGCATGGGCATGGTAAGCTTCCCATTGATGTGGGCTGATTCCTCCATACCCGTTAATGTTCCACCCATTTCCCGTTTCAGTAGCAAACCTGCCAGGGGAATGCCTCAGGTACCATGGACGTACTGACTCATTCATACCCGCTATTGTTCCACCCCTTTCTCTTAAAACTCCTCCAACCAGTTGCAAAGCTGTCGGAGGAATGCCGCAAGTACGGCGCGCCAGAGAGCCCGGGTGGCAGCACGGTGCTGGGCCGGGCGGCGCTGCACTTTGGGGCGGCACACTCAGCGATAGAGAAGGAGAGAGATAACATGGACAGGACGCTGGGGACGCAGGTGATAATAAGGGGGGTGTGACTGTACTGAGCGTGACTGTAGTGAGAAATGGCTGGGCTTGGTCCTGGGGCGTGCGGCGCTGCATTTGGGGCGGCAACTAACTCAGCGATAGGGGAGGAGAGGGATAGCATGGTCAGGACGCTGGGGACGCGGGTGTGATGTTGAGGATGGTGATTGTGGTGGGAGTGGCTTTAGTGTATGAGGGCTGCGTTTGGCCTGCCAGGGAACGGGCGGTTTGAGGGTTGGGGCGCTGCACTCAGCGATAGAGAAGGAGAGGGATAGCTGGCGACAGGACGCAGCTATCTCTCGCTCGGGACACAGGTGAGATTTTGAAGAGGGCAAAAGTTGGCTTGAATGTATGAGGGCTGCGTTTGGCATGCCACGGAACGCTTTTGAGTCGACTCAAAAACTGAGGGCTGCGTGTGGCATGCAAAATGCTACCTGGTGTTGTCCCCTATATGTGAGGAGTCTTTTTTTGAGTCGACTCAAAAACTGAGGGCTGCGTGTGGCATGCCAGGGAAAGGATTGTTGAGCGTTGGGGAGCTAAGTTGGGTTGGGGCGCTTTGGGGCACTTTGGGGCGCTTTGGGGCGCTGCACTGAGCGACAGAGAAGGAGAGAGGTATAGCATGGACAGGACGCTGGGGTCACAGGTGAGAGTGACGATACTGGTGGAGAGTGACTATATTGGTGGTCACAGGCTCAATCTGTGTTTTTCAGAATATGCCGGTCTGTCTGTTTGTGTGCATGTGCGTGTGTCCTTTTTTCCTGTATCCGAGTGTGTGTGTATCCATTGTGCTAATATCCGAGTGTGCGTGTATCCATTGTGCTAATATCCGAGTGTGCGTGTATCCATTGTGCTAATATCCGAGTGTGCGTGTATCCATTGTGCTAATATCCGAGTGTGCGTGTATCCATTGTGCTAATATCCGAGTGTGCGTGTATCCATTGTGCTAATATCCGAGTGTGCGTGTATCCATTGTGCTAATATCCGAGTGTGCGTGTATCCATTGTGCTAATATCCGAGTGTGCGTGTATCCATTGTGCTAATATCCGAGTGTGAGTGTATCCATTGTGCTTATATCCGAGTGTGAGTGTATCCATTGTGCTTATATCCGAGTGTGCATGTATCCATTGTTCTAAATGTGCAGGCGGGCGACCCCCTCAAGGCTATGTTCACTGGCGCGCCCCTGGATGATCCGAACTGTGCATGTATAAACTGTGCCTGTGCTTGTGTCCGTTGTGCCTGTATCGATGCCTACATGGCAGGTGGGCGACCCGCTTAAAGCCATGGTCACGGGCGCGCCTCTGGAGGACGCCCGCAGTCTGACCCACCGCTACGACAAGCTGAGGCAGGAGGCAGAGGCGCTGGTGAGTGAATGAGGGGTCGGGGGGTGTAGGTCGGCTTGTGAATGACGCACCCTTGCAGAGGATGCCCGCAGTCTGACCCACCACTACGACAAGCTGAGGCAGGAGGCAGCGGGGCTGGTGAGAGGATACAGGCGGGAAGGAAGGTAGAAGGGTTCACATGCGAATAAAGGCGCCCTCAGGAGGATGCTCGCAGCCTGACCCACCAATACGACAAGCTGAGGCAGGAGGCGGAAGGGCTGGTGAGTGAATAACGGGTATCTGGGGGTAGAAGGGTCTGCAGGCTGGAACGCCTGCAGGTTGGCAGGCTGGGTTGGGAGTGGAAGGCCCCTTGGTAGGACGCTCGCAGCCTGACCCACCGATGCGACAAGCTGAGGCAGGAGGCGGAAGGGTCGGTGAGCGTGGGAAGTAGGGTGAGAAGGGGCATGGGGCTTGTGAACGGGGGTATGAAAACACCGTCAGAGGACGCTCCCAGCCTGACCCACCTATACGACAAGCTGAGGCATGAGGCGGAAGGGCTGGTGAGTGAGGGAGGCGGATGAGTAGAAGTATAGGCGGGGTGAGGGGCTGGTGTGAGGGGCGTTTGCAGGGGGAGGGAGTGGCTGGGATGGGAGGTGGCGAGTGGACAGGCTGAGATGGGGGGGTTACCTGTATTTTGTGGTCTACTCTTGCTCTTCACCCTCATCTCCTGTTCCTCCATTCTCTCCGTCCCTTCCCTTGCCTTCCTCCCCTCCTTCATCTCCTTAACCTCTTTTTGTCTTGTCCGTCACCTCTCCTCCCCCACCAGGCATCCGATCCCTAGAAGCGCAATCAGACGGCAAGACATCTCATTCAGTTCCCCTCGTCTAGTTTTGTTTTGAGGCCCCTCAAAACTCGTCTTACTTCATTTCTCTTCTCATCCCTCTCATCCTGCTTCTCCCTCCCTCTCCGCCTCCCCCCCACCAGGTATCCGAGATCCAGAAGCGCAGTCAGAAGGCACGGGATGGCCTTAGAGGATCAGACCTTCCCCAGTTCCTCCCTCCTTCTCCTCCTCTCCCGGCCAGGTATCGGAGATCCAGAAGCGAAGTCAGAAGGCAAGGGAGGGCCTCGCTTACATCAGGTGCCCACTCTTGCGCCAATACTCTATTCATCGCTCTCCGCCCTCTTCCTCCTCCCCCCCACCAGGTGTCGGAGATCCAGAAGCGCAACCAGAAGGCCAGGGACGGCCTCAGAGGATCAAGCCTCCCCCAATTCCTCCTATCCTCTTGCCCCTCTGCTCTGCCCATTCCTCCCGCCCTCCCTCCCTCACCTCACCAGGTATCGGAGATCCAGAAGCGCAACCAGAAGGCCAGGGATGGCCTCAGCAACCCTGAGAATGCTGCTAAGCTGCAGGTGAGGAATGATGGCCTCACTATGGCACCCATGTGATGGTGGTAACCGTAGGGATGGTAACCATGTGATGGTAACCATAGGGATGGTACGCGCAACCAGAAGGCAAGGGATGGCCTCAGTAACCCTGAGAATGCTGCCAAGCTGCAGGTGAGGATTGGTGGCCTCACCATGGCACCCGTGTGATGGTAACCATGTAATGGTAACCATAGGGATGGTAACCAGGTGATGGTAACCATGTGATGGTAACCACGTGGTGTCAGTAACCATGTGATGTTGGTAACCATGCAGTGTCATGGTAACCATGCAGTGTTGTGGTAACCATGCAGTGTCATGGTAACCATGTGGTGTCATGGTAACCATGCGGTGTCATGGTAACCATGCGGTATCATGCCGTGCCTCTCTGCATTCGTGCCGCAGAAAATGGCTGGCAGTGAGCCTAACAGCACTGATTCGTGTCTCTGCATTCGTGCCTCGACCATGATGGCACCGGCGAGAGAGGCATCCCGACCTTGTCGTTCCCCCTCCTGGATTCAGCTTTTGAGTCGACTCAAAGGTCGACTGAAATGACGCGACCATGATGGCGCCAGCAAGAGAGGCATCTGGACCTTGTCCTTCCCCTTCCTAGATTCACCACCCTCGCGTGCCTGCAGCTAGCAGAGCAGAAGATGGGCGAGCTGGCAGCAAAGCAACCACCATGACGGCGCCGGGGAGGGAGGCAACCACAGCAGCGGTGAATGCCCAAACACTCGTTTGGGGAGGGAGGGATGGAGGCAGCGACAGCAATGGTCGCAGTGCTGCTGCTGGGCTCACTTGCTTCTTCCTCCCCCCTCTCCCTCCTCGAAATGAATGAGCAGCTGGCAGAGCAGAAGTTGGGCGAGCTGGCAGCGACAGTGACGGTGCTGGGAGGGAGGCGTGTGGTGCTGCTCATTGTGCCCTTCGTTTCCTTCTATGTCCGCCTGTCCGCCTGTCCGCCTGTCCGCAGATGGCAGAGCAGAAGATGGGCGAGCTCGCAGCGACCATGACGGTGCTGGGGAGGGAGGCATGCCGTAACATGTGGTGCTGCTGATAGTGCCCTTTGCTTCCTCCTTTCTCCACCTGTCCGCAGATGGCAGAGCAGAAGATGGGCGAGCTCGCAGCCACCATGACGGTGCTGGGGAGGGAGGCAGCGACGGCAATGATGGCAGTTGAAGCGCAGCAGCAGAGGCAGTCGCTGCAGCGGCTGATAGGCATGGTGAGAGAGATGATGTTACACCAGTGCTGCTACTCTGTGAGCCACTCCCGGTGCATGCACCTTCAATGATGGCAGTGGAAGTGCAGCAGCAGAGGCAGACGCTGCAGCGGCTGATAGGCATGGTGAGACCAAATGGTTGGGTGACGTGGCAGCACAGACTGTTGTGTGCACTGCTCTACTGTGCGCCAAGGAAATCAGCCACAGCCGCGGCAATGATGGCGGTGGAGCCTCAGCAGCAGAGGCAGACGCTGCAGCGGCTTATAGGCATGGTGAGGCGATGACACTCTATGTTGCGCTGGTGGTGCTATGCTGCGAGACATACATTGGTGGTGCCATGCTGCGAGACGTACATCGGTGGTGCTATGCTGCGAGACAGCGCTAGTACATGCATCTACAGCATACTAATGATGGCAGTGGCGGCGCAGCAGCAGAGGCAGGCACTGCAGCGGCTGATGGGCATGGTGAGAGGGTGACACTCTATGTTGCGCTGGTGGTGCTATGCTGCGAGACAGCGCTAGTACGTGCACCCACAGCATACCAATGATGGCAGTGGCGGCTCAGCAGCAGCGGCAGGCACTGCAGCGACTCATTGGCATGGTGACAGCATTTGGTAGGGTGACGTGGTAGCACAAACTGTTGTGTGCACTGCTCCACTGTGCGCTAAGGACTGTTGTGCTCACAGACTGCTCTACTGATAGGCATGGTGAGAGGGTTGCTGTTACACGGGTGCTGCTACATTGTGAGCCACTGCTTGTACAAGCATGCATGATGGCAGTGGAGGCTCAGCAGCAGCAGCAGACGCTGCAGCGACTCATTGGCATGGCGAGATGTGTAGTACGGCTGATTGAGATGGAGTGTGTTACAGTGCGGTACAGTGTGCCACCGCATGTGCTACGCCTCTGTTCACGGGAGGGAGCCAGTGACAGGTATGATGGCGTTGTGGGCACGCTGGCAGAGGCAGACTCGTTGGCATGGCGATGGGGATGGTGGGAGTGATGGGGATGGTGAGAGAGTGATGGGGATGGGGAGAGAGTGATGGGGATGGGGAGAGAGTGATTGGGACTTCAGCAGCGATCAGTGGAGACTTCCTTCCACCAGCGATCAGTGCAGACTTCCTTCCACCAGCGATCAGTGGAGATTCAAGCTACCTTCAATGCTATGCTCCCTTCCCCCTCCCCCCTTTCCCCCTCCCCCCTTCCCCCTCCCCCCTTTCCCCCTCCCCCCTTCCCCCTCCCCCCTTTCCCCCTGCCCCCTTCCCCCTCCCCCCTTTCCCCTCCCCCTTCCCCCTCCCCCCTTTCCCCCTGCCCCCTTCCTCCTCCCCCCTTTACCCCTCCCCCCTTCCCCCTCCCCCCTTTCCCCCTCCCCCCTTCCCCTCCCCCCTTTCCCCCTTGCACCCCCCAACCAGGTGGAGTCAGAGCGGACCTTCCACCAGCGATCAGTGGAAACCTTAAGCCACCTGCACGCGCAGATGGTGGGGGAGAGGCAGAAGAACGACCACGGTGGCAACAACAGCGCCAGCAGCGCTATTGCCACCAGCTACCAGTCGAGCTTTGAACCAACCACCCTACTCCATTCCTTCCCTCCCTCTCCCTTGCCCCCTCCCCTCGCCCTCCCTTCCCCCCTTCCTCCTTCTCCCTTCTCCCTTCTCCCTTCTTCCTTCTCCCTTTTCCCTTCTCCCTTCTCCCTTCTCCCTTCTCCCTTCTCCCTTCTCCCTTCTCCCTTCTCCCTTCTCCCTTCTCCGGTCACTCCCAGGTGGAATCTGAGAGGGCGTTTCACCAGCGATCAGTGGAAATCTTAAGCCACCTGCACGCGCAGATGGTGGGGGAGAGGCAGAAGAGCGACCACAGCGGCAACAACAGTACCGCCACTGCGACCCCTGCTGGTGGGGGTGGGGGCAGCACCAACCCGTTTGCAGGCTCGGCCGAGCCTCCCCCCCCGAGCTACGAGGAGGTTCGGGGCGGCGGTGGAGGAGGGTCGACTGGAGGGGGGTCGAACCGAGCGGGATATTTCCTTGCTGAGGTGCGTAGGAGAACTTGGGAGTGTGGGGCACTTCGAAGTGTGGGGCGTTTGTGAGGGTGGGGCGTTTGTGAGGGTGGGGCGTTTGTGAGTGTGGGGCGTTTGTGAGTGTAGGGCATTTGTGAGTGTGCGGGAGGAGCGAGTAGTGAGGTGATTGTGTGGGAGAGATGTAAGGAGGAGGTTCCAACAGAGCAAAATGCTTCCTTGTCGAGCTGCGTTGAGGCATATGTGATGGCAAGGGTTGTGAGTGTGGGCAGGTGAGTGAGGGGAGGTGAGTGTGGAGAGGTGAGTGTGCGGAAGTGAGAGTGGGGAGGTGAGTGTGGGGAGGTGAGGGTGGGGAGGTGAGTGTGGGGACGTGAGTGTGGGGAGGAGAGTGTGGGAAGGTGAGTGTGGGGAGGTTAGTGTGGGGAGGTGAGTGTGGGGAGGTGAGAGTGGGGAGGTGAGTGTGGGGAGGTGAGTGTGGAGAGGAGAGTGTGGGAAGGTGAGTGGGGAGGTTAGTGTAGGGAGGTGAGTGTGGGAAGGTGAGAGTGGGAAGGTGAGTGTGGGGAGGTGATAGTGGGGAGGTGAGTGTCCGTCTGTTGGCGCTTCTGCTGTTCAAAACGCTGCCCCCACCCTGCTGCACCACTCCCCACCCTGCTGCACCACTTCCCCACCCTGCTGCACCACTTCCCCACCCTGCATCACCACTCCCCCACCCTGCTGCACCACTCCCCCCCACCCTGCCGATCTCCCATAGTAATTCTCCCATAGTTAATCTCCCATCGTTACTCTCCCATAGCTAATCTCCCATAGCTTCGCCCTCTCCATCACTCCATCCTGCACACTCTCTCCCCCCTGCCCTTTCTCCCCCCTGCCCTTTCTCCCCCCTGCCCTTTCTCCCCCTGCCCTTTCTCCCCCCTGCCCTTTCTCCCCCCTGCCCTTTCTCCCCACTGCCCTCTCTCCCCCCTGCCCTTTCTCCCCCCTGCCTTTCTCCCCCCTGCCCTTTCTCCCCCCTGCCCTTTCTCCCCCCTGCCCTTTCTCCCCCCTGCCCTTTCTCCCCCCTGCCCTTTCTCCCCCCTGCCCTTACTCCCCCCTGCCCTTTCTCCCCCCTGCCCTTTCTCCCCACTGCCCTCTCTCCCCCCTGCCCTTTCTCCCCCCTGCCCTTTCTCCCCCCTGCCCTCTCTCCCCCCTGCCCTTTCTCCCCCCTGCCCTCTCTTCCCTCTTCCCCCCCTCCGCCTCACGCCCTCCAGGTGGTGCATGCATTTGAGGCGGAGGGTCCCGGGACATCGTAACAAGGTGACTTAAGAGTCGACTCGTAAGTCACCCCTGCCCTCTCTTCCCTCTTCCCCCCCTCCCCCTCACGCCCTCCAGGTGGTGCACGCATTCGAGGCGGAGGGTCCCGGGGAGATCTCCCTGAATATCGGGGATTACGTGGTGGTCAGACAGGTGAGCGGCTGTGCCTTTGGTGCCCAATCGCTGGTGAACACTATGGCAGAAAGGTGTGTCATGGGCAGAAAGGTGTGTCATGGGGAGATCTCCCTGCATATTGGGGATTCCGTGGTGGTCAGACAGGTGTGTCGGCAGTCAGCTGATTTCAGGGCAGATTGATGGGCAGTCGAATGATTTGTGGTCAGACAGGTGTTTTGGCAGTCAGTTGATTTCAGGGCAGATTGATGGGCAGTTGAATGATTCGTGGACAGACAGGGGTTTCGGCAGTCAGTTGATTTCAGGGCGGGCAGCTGGGCACTTGTTTGGAGCAGCATGGGCAGCCAGAAGGGGTGATTCATGCAAGCGCATGGAAGCCTTGGTTCCACATGCACATGCACATGCACATGCCCATGCCCATGCTCATGCCCATGCACATGGCCATGCACATGCCCATACACATGCACATGCATGGGTCTCGCGCACGCGTCTCCCATCCATCGCTTGTTGGCCAAACGGTTGGGTGGAGGGGGGAGGCAAACGGCAAGGCTGGCTGGTTCCTTTCTGCATGCCCCCATCACATGCTTTTGAGTCGACTCAAAAGCGATTGGTTGGAGAGGGGAGGCAAACGGCAAGGCTGGCTGGTTGGTTCCTTTCTGCATGCCCCCATCACATGCCCATTCATTGCGCGAGCCAGTGCACTGGCAGACAGCCCCCTTCTCTTCCCCATATCTGCATGAGTCCCTCTCTCTCCGTCCTAACAGGTGTCGCCCAAGGGTTGGTCGGCTTCTACACACCACCTCCCCTTATTCTGTGCATGTATCATCCTCACTCTCCTACCAAGCCGGTGTCGTCCAATGGTTGGTCAGAGGGGGAGGTGAAGGGCAAGGCTGCCCCCATCACATGCTTTTGAGTCGACTCAAAAGCGATTGGTTGGAGGGGGGAGGCAAACGGCAAGGCAGGCTGGTTGCTTTCTGCATGCCCGCATCACATGCCCGTCCAATGCGTGCGCAAGTACACTGACAGTCAGCCCCCTTCTCTTCCCCACATCTGCATGGGTCCCTCTGTCTCCGTCCTAACAGGTGTCGCCCAATGGTTGGTCGGCTTCTACACACCACCTCCCCTTATTCTGTCCATGTATCATCCTCACTCTCCTACCAAGCCGGTGCCGCCCAACGGTTGGTCAGAGGGGGAGGTGAAGGGCAAGGCTGTCTGGTTCGTTGCTGCATACCCCCTCCCATTATTCTGTACACGTATCCTACTTACTATCCTGCCGTACAGGTGTCGCCCAACGGTTGGTCAGAGGGAGAGGCGAAGGGCAAGGCTGGCTGGTTCCCTTCGGCCTTCGTGGAGCGAAGACAGCGGGCCCCAGCAAGCAAGATCCTGGAAGCTTCCGGGGCCTTGTAATGGTGCTAGTGAAGCCTGTTGAAATCCGAACCAGTTATCAACGTAGCCAGTTTTAAGAGATGCAAGGGTACACGCATTATGCATTCATATTGAGCATATGAGACAGCATGAGGTTTTGCAGCTTTGTGCAGGTGTACCAGAGTAGTACTGGTTCCATACTTTTGTCCAAATGACTTGGCCTTTTCAGTTGGCTTGCTTCCTGCCAGCCAGTCCACCTCCCCAAGGACTGCTTCACCTACCCTGATCTCTCATTCGGCTGAGATAGCTACCCATAAATGACTTGCTAATGCCTAGCTAGAAACATCAGAGAATAAAAATTACACACAACCAGAAAAAACTGCACTAAAGCGCCTTCATTTCAAACACTAGCACCACACATTACATGTTTCCTATCCAACTTCGTTCCGTGATCCTGCCCTTTCATTTGCTATTCACCACCACATCCAGTGTTTGGAGCATGATCTGTGTCCTAGACAGCGCTGTAGGGTGATTGCTTGTCTACAAAGTTTCCAGTCTGCCATTGATACATGACATCCTCAGACCCTCCTAAGAGCACCTGCCACCCAACTACCGGGGAGCACCTTCCAGAGAGGTCTGGCTGGACGGAGTTTTAAATACGTCCAGAAACACGAGAGCACAGCGGCATAAGACGCTTGGTAAATATCGGAAAGCTTTCAGCCGTAACTGAGGCTATAACAACCTTCCGAGAGAAAAAGGGATACGAAAGCACGGCGGGAGATCGGCACAAGCTCGCACGTTCGCACAGCTCTAGGGCGGAACAGTGCACCGAGGAGACCTCTAGCAATGCGGATCTGAAACGCACGCAGAAACCTTAGACAGCATTGCACAAATACTGTCAGCTTGGTGATCGAGAAATGGCTATGCTGGGTCATTGAGGGACAGAGAGGAACAAATTGGACGCTTCAGAAAGAATGGGGTTTCACTAAACCGAGAATATTTCATTGATTAAACATTATAAGGACACGGATTTAAGACTCCTCCTCCTCAACCCAGGCCTCAACACGGAGCAGCACAAAGCCCAGAGCAATGCCGGTGAAGATCATGCCGCCGATGATCGGAACCACCCGGATGATCTCGGCGCCGATGTCACACCTGGAGGAGAGAGCACCGCCGCGAGCGCCGGTCCGCCTGGCATCAGCAGCGATCTGGGCGAAGCTCTCGTCAACAGTCTTCCTCTCAGCGACAGCCGACACGCAGGATGAGGCCTTCAGGCCGGAGAACTGGCCGAAGGAGGCAATGCGGGCCTGGCGCTTAGGAGCAGCGACCTTGGCCACAGCGGCGGAGGGAACCACCAGTTGGCATGAAGAAGCAATGGCAGCCATGGCTGATGGTGTGGTTGTGTCGGCAAGTACAGATGAGCTAGGGAAGCTGAGAAGGCTGTTGCTGGCTGGGAGAAAAATTCCAAGCAAAGAAACAAAAGCCTTCTGATCTGAGAAGTTGGCAGGAGGGTAGCCAGAGGGAGGGTTGACCGGAAACCCTAGGGAACTTCTTGATGAGTCATGTTAACGACTCGTGCGAATAGTGACGAAGTCAAGCGGCTGAGAGTCCCAAGCTGTTCTGTGAAATGTTGGTCTGGGAGGATAAGTTGTTACCAGGCAGTGTTCTTCGCGAGCGACGAATGTGGCAGGGCCACCCAGTACCCGAGTTGATGTGTACGAGCGGTGACGGCTCTTCCACCAAAAGTGATGTGCTGGCAGTTCCCGCCAATCGGCCTTATCTGAACGATCTCCATTCCTGCAGTGTTGCGCCACAGATATATCCACGTGGCACAGAACCCACCTGCCGTCATGGCGGAAAGGGCAAACCAGCCACGAGATGAACGAAACAGAATCCGTGGTGGAGGTGGGTAAAGAAGCGGTACACGATCATGTAAGTTTTAAACATAAACCAGATTTTACAACCACTAAGCAATGTTGAAAAAACGAGGCAAAGAGCTGGAAGTTGGTCTTGGTGATTATTGGGAAAGGTACAACTCGCTGAAAGCGAAAATGAAAGCATGCCCAATTCGCATGATACTGGAATGACTAGGCACAACATGTAGCACAAAACACTCCATTGCTACGTGGGTAACATGGTCCTGTCATGTGTACCTTCTTCAATCATCATCCACACAAGAAAGTAAGCAAAACAAGATGCACAACCAGAGACAATACTCCCGGCATGTGGTCATCTTTCTCTACTCTCTGGCAAGCAAAACATGGTATGTACTTGTTTCTTATATTCGTCAAGCATACAATTCCACATGCAGTTCTATAACTGCCACAGAAACACAGCTGCGACCACATGGCACCAGCATCAGTGAGAATAGTAGCAGCACCAGTGAGAATACCAGTAGCAGCAGTGAGAGCAGCCGTAGCGGCAGTCAGTGCAGCATTAGCAGCAGTACAAGCGGCAGGTAGGAGGAGCAGTGAGGCCGCAGTAGGCGCAGCAACAGGGGCAGCTTACCTACAAAAACTCTGCATAACTCCTCCAGCTTCTGGCAATATTTTCACACAGCATGCCTGGAGTTTGCTTGCTGCATTTCATCAGGAAGTCCTAAATTTGCTGAGCTGCTACAGCTGCCACAACCCTCACTTCTAAAGTTGTCCCCACTGCCGCTTACAGTACAATGCTGGGCTGCCATGCCATATCAGTAGCTTCTGCTACAGCAGCTGCAGCCACTGGAAAATGGCTCGTGGTGAACCAAGGGTGAAAGGGATATCTGCTTTGAGTTGACTCAGAAGCTCAAGAAAGGCTCCTGGTGACTGAAGGACGAAAGGGAGATCTGAGACCGTTCTCGTCTTCGGCTGACCTTGCACAACAGGAACACAGCGAGTTTGACCCCCAAGTTGGAACTCTGCGAGTCGGACCTCCTCGAGGTCGCCAGGGTTGAAAGTGAGGCAGAGTTTGCCCTCCCAGTGCTTGCAGCGACAGTTGAATCTACATTCTGTGCTATAGTTATTCCCACTGACTGCCACATGCAATTCTGCAGTTGTCGCGGCGGCAGCGGCTTCTGCTGCAGCAGCCGCTACTGATGCCACTGCCGCTATTACTAGGACTTGTATTGACCCAAGGAAGATAGGGAGAGGTGCGAGAGTGCTCGCCTTAGGCTCAGCCTGCGTGAGGGGAAGGCTGAGGGTTGGGGTTGGGGAAGACAGAGGCGTGGGGGGAAAGGGAGAAGTCAATCTCTTGGCTGAACCTCAGCCCTTCCTCTGTGCCACATCCCCATGCCTTGGGATCGACCGCAACACTGCCAATCTTATTGATGGTTCAAATGAGCAAGTGAGTGTGGGTATAAGCGTAGAACATTATGTGTTGATCGGGTACAAAAAATCGTGTGTGCTGTATGGGGTACAAAGTGTACCAGCCTTGGCTGGCTTGCAACGTACCACTCTGATTTATTGACCGCGAGGAGGGGAATGCTGCTGGGCCACAAATCTTCTCAAAAACGCTGCCACCTCCCCTCCCCTTTCTGCTCAGCTGCACTGTAGACACGCTACTAGAAGCCACATCTTGTGCAGAAAAATGGGGCTGCTCCAAACGCGAACACCATGCTGACGGCTTAGCCCTATCCCCATCCCCCTCCGCGCCTTCCGCCTCCCCCCTTTCAAGAGTTCTGCCCCCATCCCACCCCCCTCTTCCCCACACTTCGAACTTCTCCGCCCCTGCCCCAGCCCTTGCGCTCTCCGCTCGTCCCTGAACCCCCGTCCGCGCAGTCTCAGGAGCGCAGCCGTCTGCGACGTTTTCTGCGCTACCGCCTCCGCCCCTAGGTCTTTCCGCGCCTCCTACCCTTTCCGCAACCCCCACACATCCCGCGACCCCCACTCTTTGCGCGCAGCTTTTTCCTTCTTCCACCGCTCGCTCGGGCTGCGACACGGATCGTCGCAAGCACCGAATCGCGAGCGACGAAGTGAACGAAGTCGGTTTTCGCGAATTCTTTTGCGACGCCTCAGCTTTCCCGAGTGCGGCTCCTAAGCGAGGCGATCTCGAGGTTGATGATTGCACGTGGCACGATCTCGACCGCAGGTTTTGTTCCGAACTACACAATTCCTGCCGCCGCTGCTGCTGCAGCTGCTGCTCCTGCTGATTCAAGAGAGAGGAATTTCCTTCCTTCCATCCCAGTGGCCCGTGCAGGCGACCAAGCAGCGACGGCGATCGCCGGGCGACGGGCGACGATTCTGCATGCCCCTCTGCAACGGATTGCGACAGCGAAGCTGTCGCCGCGATCGGCGCAGTCAACGGGCGAAGGGCTTCAGGGGTTGACTTGAAGTCGGACTGCTGCAGACCGGCTGAATCTGACGCCGCAGTCGCGCTACGACTCCTAGCGCGAATACCAATGGTTACAATACCACTGGTTACAGTACTACCGGTCTGAACGCCACTACGTCCCTCGACGCATTCTCCAGTACGCGGAGACGACGACGCGGGTGTAACTGAGGACGGCGAAAGCAGCGACGTGAACGAGAGTCGCGACGCGGTGCTCGAGAACGACGCCGGAAGCGATGGCCAGTGCAGCAACCCGCGGCGACGCGGACTGCCCGCCGTGATTCCCGGGCTGCTCGTCGAAATAACACCCGGGCTGCTCGACGTGTTCTGGGCCGGTGTTAATCTCTCCGGATCGAGACGCGTCGGGTCGAAGCGCGTCGCATCGACGCGCGGGCTGCTGAACATCGGAAAGTCCGTGACGCTGGCGGGGGAATGCGCGGCGGCGAGGCCTCGACGAGGACCCTGCTGCTGCACGCCGCCGCGCAAACCACCGCCGTTCAGGCCACCGCCGTGCGACCCCCCGTGCGACCCGTCGTGCGAACCGCCGTGCGATTCGACGGCAGCGGATTCCTGGCGCTGCTCGCTGCACAGCGACTGGGACGATGCGTGGTTCGCGGCGGCGGGCAGATCCGACCGTTGTCTCAAACCAGACAGATCCGACCGTTCGCTGAAGGCCCTGCGGCGCGAGACGGCGATGGTGAAGGGGGAACGGAGGCGGAGACGGAGGCGCGACGACGATGGTGCCGCGGGAAGGCAGACTCCGTTAGTAATCTCTCCGTTAGTAGTCTCTCCGATAATAGTCTCTCCGTTACTACTGCGCGTGTGTGCGCGGTCCGCCTCTTGATCGTCAGGGATCCGCGCGGGCGAACCCACGTCTCCCCGCGAGTCTTCGTCTCCCCGCAAACCCACGTCTCCCCCCGAACCCCCCTGCGAACCCCCTCGCGCAGATCCGCTTGCAGAGCTCCCTCCATCACGTCCTGCGCCGGTATTGCGCCCGTTCCCCCCCCATCCCGTCGTCAGCGCAGATCCCGCGCCGTCACAGTCATCGTTTCCGCTCGCAACGCGGGGAAACGACGCGTTGCGCAAATGCGCCTCTTCCCCAACTCGAGCTTCCGCCCCGCTCCCCCCGCTCCCCCCGCTCCCCCCGGTACCCCCGCCCCCCCCGCTCCCAGCAGCGGCGGGAAAAACCGGTTGGCGGAAAACCCTGCTACTGATCCCATCGTCGACGCCCCCTCCCCGACCCCCGTCGGCGAAAACGTCGCTGCTGCTGCTGCTGTCGCTGGGGAACGCGCGGAGCCCGTCGAAGAGGCTCGCGCACGCCGGGGGGATGACGGTCGGGACTGGGGAAATCCCCAAACTCCCCCGCTGCTGCTCCCCGATTCCCCCCGGCCGGCCTGGCGCTCCCCAAACCCCTCCTCCCCGACCCCCGTCGGCGAAAACATCGCTGCTGCTGCTGCTGTCGCTGGGAATGGCGCAGAGCCCGTCGAAGAGGCTCGCGCACGCCGGGCGGTTGAAGAATGGGACTGGAAAAACGCTGATCCCCTGGTGCTGGTGCTGCTGCTGCTGCTGCTGCTGCTGCTGCTGGTGCTGGTGCTGCTGCTGCTGCTGCTGCTGCTGCTGCTGGTGCTGCTGCTGCTGCTGCTGCTTCTGCTGCTGCTGCTGCTGCTGCTGCTGCTGCTGCTGCTGCTGCTGGTGCTGCTGCTGCTGCTGCTGCTTCTGCTGCTGCTGCTGCTGCTGCTGCTGCTGCTGCTGCTGCTGCTGCTGCTGCTGCTGCTGCTGCTGCTGCTGCTGCTGCTGCTGCTGCTGCTGCTGCTGCTGCTGCTGCTGCTGCTGGTGCTGGTGCTGCTGCTGCTGCTTCTGCTGCTGCTGCTGCTGCTGCTGCTGCTGCTGCTGCTGCTGCTGCTGCTGCTGCTGCTGCTGCTGCTGCTGCTGCTGCTGCTGCTGCTGCTGCTGCTGCTGCTGCTGCTGCTGCTGCTGCTGCTTCTGCTGCTGCTGCTGCTGCTGCTGCTGCTGCTGCTTCTGCTGCTTCTGCTGCTGCTGCTGCTGCTGCTGCTGCTGCTGCTGCTGCGGGTACTGCTGCTGCTGCCTCTGCTGCTCCTGTTGCTGTTGCTGGGAGGTAAGTTGGGAGTAATTTGACCCATGCGACGGATACGACTCGTGCGACAGCGTCGCCCGGATTGCGCGAGAGTTGCCCGCGGAGGCGCGACCACTAGGCGGCTCCAAAGCGGAGGTCAGTTGATGATTGAAAGAGATACTACTACTCGTAGTAGGCTGCTCAAAAGGGGAGGTAAGTTGGGAGTAGTGTTGGAAACTAAGCTGATGATTGGAGGAGCCATTGATACTAGACGAAGGCAGCTCCAGCTCCCCGCTCGAGCCGCGGGAGTGATCCGAACCGTGAGACTGGTGCGATCTAATAACGCGCCAGTCAACAGCGGGAAACGGACACAGCTCCGGAAGCGAGCACGACTGGCGGAGCCCCTTTGGCTCCCCGCTGCCACCGCCTCCGCCGCTTCCGCCGCTTCCGCCGCTGCTCCCCCCGCTTCCCCCGCTTCTGCCGCTCCCGCCGCTCCCGCTGCACCCTCCTCCGCATGATCTTTCGCCGCACTTCCCGCAGCCGCCACCGCCGCCGATTTCCCCGCCGTCTCCGCCGCTGCGGTTTTCCTCCGCGATCGCCGTTATCTCCATGATTCGATCCGCCGCCGCCTCGCGGAGGCGGTCGTCGTGGCGCCATTGGCTGACGACGGACGAGAGCTGCATCGCCGCCTCGCTGGCGACGTTTCGCAACTGGCGGCGGCGAAAGCGGCGAAGGCGCTTCTCGAAATTCTGGACGCATTCTGGGGTGATTTCCGTGTTGATAAGACCGCGCTGCGACAGGGACTCCGCATCCGCATTGCCTAAGTTGCGCCAGTCTATAACGGGTACAGGGCATAGCTCCGATCCGGGCTCCATCATGATGCGTTGTGAACAGAGCTGTTACTAACAGCAGCAAACAGTGTTACTATTAGAACCACTACGCGCTGCACCGAGACTTAGTAGTCACTACCATCTCCTGCGCGGTGGCGCAAGTACCAGACGCTAGTAGTACTCTGCGGCAGGTGAAGGCTCGTCTGGGCCGTGGCTCCCCGCACTCACACTCCCGGCGCCAGCCTGCCACTATTGTCAGTGGGGGGGAGGTATGCGGGGAGGATGCCCGTCGATGACGCTGCTATTTACGATGAACAGAGGTGGTCGACGTCGTCATGAATGATGTGTGTTGGTGGTGTCCTCAGTCCTGTACGCACTATTTACGACGGTTAGGAAACGGCGCAGTCGTCTCGTCCCATCGCCGTCCCGTCCCGTCCCGTTCCGTTCCGTCCCGTGACTCCCGTCCCGCCTCGTCTCCTGTGGTCCCCCTCTGCTTCTAGATGGGCTGTTGCATGCATGGATTGGCTAGCTGGCTGGCTGGCTGGCTGGCTGGCTGGTTGGCTGGCTGGCTGGCGGCTTGATGAGCTTGCAGGGTCATTCTCACCCAGCTTCACCTCGCTTAGGGTGTCACTCAAGGTTCAAAGGGGGGCTTTTGTGAGGCTAGACGAGAGGGGAGGGGACCAGGCGAGAAGAGGAGAGGAGGGAGGAGAACGAGCCCATCCAGTCAAAATGGCAGTGTGTAGCCGTAGTGGCTGCACTTTTTGACGGTCAGCGGCAAGTGTCAGTCACACAACTCACGAACGATGAGTCACACGACTCGTGCGGTAACATGCGAACAACTACAGTAGACGCAGAAATGAAGTGATGCGATTATCAGAGGAAGCCAGGGCGATGTTCGCGAGCCACGAGGGAAGAAATGAATGGCTGCGGCGGCTCCCAACCAGGCCTCTGGAAGTCAGGGCAATTACACTGCTTTGTCAAGGAAAACAGGGTGAAATTTTAACCTAGCCCTGCTTTCGACGCATTCAGAATATCAATACCCGTCCATGGACAGGCAAGCCAGAATTATCCCACGGCCAATTTCCGAGTTTGGGATAAACCCGCCCTGTAAAATCTAATGTAAACGTTCGCGCCCCTAGTAAAAAATTATCCCCCTGTCATTGTCAGGAGTGGCTATTCCGAGCTTGACGAAACTCTTGCCTGCAAAAACAGTCAAAAGTTTTGGGGCTACCCGGCCTGGAGGAGTTGGATCCCGGGCAAACTCGGAAACTGCAGGGTGACCCCTAGGATATCGAGAGGCCTGCTCCCAGCACAGCAAGCAAGAGGCGGTGTGGTGGTGAGATGGGGGGAAGGGAAGGGGGGGAATCAGGCGAAACCCGAAACCTTGTTGTGATTGCCTTCTGGTGGTCCCCTCACGACCACCACCTTTCCCGCTCTGGTCTAGTCTGGCTGGACTCTAGTCAGCCACCACAGGTTTGCAAGGTGAGCGCGGAAAGGAAGACAAGAAAGAGCAACGGTCCTGCTCGGCTGTTACAGTCGTGGTTGGCGTGGCTGGTGTGCTAGATGCAGTGTGGTTTGATTCCGTTCTAGACTCTGTGCCTCGCACTTTGCCAGACTGCTAGCCAGACCTGCCCTGAGGCATCCGAAAAATAACAGGGTGGAGTGAGATTGAGTTGGCTTTCCCAGTTTTCAGAGGGGTGATGATGATATCGCCCGTGAAGGAGACGCCATAAATTGCAGTCTCATGATTGCAATACATAATACAGATATCCTGCTATTTTGTCTCACATTTTTTGCACGCGAATTAAGCTTGTAAGCAGGAAATGGTAAAACACGGGCAAACGGGACCTTGAAGTAGAAAACCCACAGTAAACAGTGACATTTGGTTACAAAATCTCGCTCATGCACTGGATTAGATGCCTCCGTGACGTCCCAGCTCTAGAAATTGTTATTGTGCAAATTTGACTTGGTTGTTCGCTATCGTTCAGATTGCAGCCAATCAGGTTCAGTGTCAACGCGAGTCATGCTGAGAACCTGGTAGGTGGGATTGCAATTTGAAATGTTATGGGTGGGACAATAGAGGAAAACATGTGTACTTGGGCGATTTATACTCTTTTAAACCGGGTTGTTTCTCATCATCTAGTGATCATTTCCTCACATATTCTAACCATGCTACCTGGTGAACACTGACCAACCCAACATGTAATTTTCAGTTCAAATTGTGTAATTTTCCGTTACATATCTCCTTCGACTAGGGCAAGCTCCGAGAGTATTGGAATCTGCTCTAGTCGAAGGGGGGCGTAGGGCACGTGCAAAGCGTGCACTTATCGTATTTTCAAGAACCGGATCTCGGTACAGTGTGTACTATTCCGGAGTGGAAACCCTGGCGTATGTTGCGACATCGGCCCAAGCTGCATCGTCGCACATTTTCGCATTATTACGGGCCTGCGTTGCAAACCCACACCAAATTTGATGGGCCAAATTTCACGCAGATATGATTTGGCGTGCCCTCGAGTTCGACATTTGGCGTCGCACACCTGTCATTCCGGATGACATTCTCGAAGGGGGAAGACCGGATTGTGTGCTGTGGCTGGGCGCGACAGACTGTCCGTGTTGCAGAATTTCAACACGTTTTGCATGCAAAAGATGTCATGTGGCACGTGGTGTTCATGGGGTCGTGACCCTGACACTGTGGGATCGTTGCGGCCGTCGACCAATCAGAATTGCTCCTTTGATTGTGGCTGTGATTGAGCGTTATTGGCCGATTTTACCTTTTCGTGCGTATGTGGGGGTTGTTTATATGGATATAATGCTATTGACGAATATTTGCTCGTAAGGTCGCTGCACTAGTCGAGGGCGCTTTGTATCCAGGTCGTGAATCTTGTGGCAGGTCCCGCCTGGCCAGAAACGATTTGATACCCCCTCCGTTGCTCCCTTGTCCACTTCCACCTGGCAAAAAATATCACAGAAAACGACAAGCGGACCCCGCAAGGCGACTGCTGAATCAACAAGCGCCACAAATATTTCCCGAAATGCCCGCTTATTTTCACATTAACATGCTTACAGCGATATTTCCAAACGCGTAAGCAAACACCTATGAACGCAATTCGGTATTCCGCTTCCTTAGCCCACGACATTTGGCAGTGATCCGGCCATACATTTCCGTTTTGTACTGCACTTAGTCTAAGTGAATAGTATTTCTTTTGGTTTCTTATTACTCGGACGATTTGTGCTTTGCCTACGCCACAAGCTACCCCTTGTGTTTTTTGTTGTTTTTATGTTTACCCGTTTGCCGAATTCATGTTCTCCGACCACCAAAATTTCGCGTCGGTCCAACAGAAATTCCCGCGACCCACATGCACCCATACTCAGGGAGAATTCTGGATAGAGTGTCAGAGCCTCGGCTTCAGGGCAAGATCCCAGGCTGGAAAAAAATTGCCTCGGGTCTAAGAAAAAGTTGACGTTTTCTGCCGAGTTGCCGACAACCTCAACATCTCAGACTTCGTGCGAGTCATCGTCCACCAGTACACCTCAACTGCAACAGGCCCACGATAATGTGCTGAGTCAGTTAGGACAGAATGCACTCGGCAGCTGAGTCAGCTGTATTGTCACATATTACTTTTGCGACGAATTTATGCTGTTTCGCTGCTGCGCCGTCAAGCACACAAAACCCGCAGTTGGGTTGTGACAACCCGCGGTTCCTTCAACCGCGGGTCTGCCTCGGGCGACCCCGATTCCGGAATGCGCACTCATTGTCATCCAGACGGCAGATAGAACTAAAGAATGCAAACAAAAACATTTTCTGCTATTACATTGACATCTAAACAAATCAATGCAACCAGACCACAAACAAATCAATGCAACCACGCCAAAAACAAATCAATGCAATATTATGTCGTCCCTAGTCTTTTGCTAAACCTCGGAGGGATTGCCAAGGGTCCTATAGGAAAGGTTCACAACACATTACAGTATAGCGCCACCTGCTATTGCCATAATATACAGCGCCAAGCAAGATAAAATACTTCAGCCAAACGCTTCAAACAGAATGTGACACACTGAGCAATAAATCCCCAGAATGCATGGCCAGCAACAGCTTGTGTCTCTCTTCAGGGTGTGTAACATCTAACGGCATAACTACTGTAGTCAATGTGGTGTACATTCCCACGCCACCTCCCTGCCTCTGCTGCTGCTCCTGCTGCTCCTGGCTTTCTTGGTTGTTCCCCAGTCTTGTGGGGGGTACCGGTATTACCCGAGCGTCGGCAAACCCTCGAGAGTCGTACTGCTTTGGGTGTTGAAGAGTGAATAGAATCATTGGGATGGCCACCTGAAAGGGAGGAGAGGAGAGGAAGAGGTCACAGGGGGGATAAAGAAAGTGCATTCGTCAACTGCAGCACCGGCGAACAATTGTGAGAGCCGTACTGCTTCGGAAGCTCAAGGGTGAATAGAATCATTGGGATGGCCACCTGAAAGGGAGGAGGAGAGGAGGTAACGCAGAGGGCGCAGGGGGGTAGAAGCAGGGTAAGCGTCAGCTGTAGAGAACCATTTTCGGGTCGTATTACGACCCCCTGAACCTTTTTGCCGGTTGTATTCGGACCCCATCAACCCTATTCAGAGTCGTATTCCATTTTGAGGGTCGCATTCCATTTTGGGAGTTGTATTCTGATCTCCTGACCATGTTGAGGACAGAGTCATTTAAATGGCCACTGGAAGGGAGGTGAGGGGGAGGTGCATTTGGCACTATAGCGTATGTGAACCTTTTGTGAGGGGCGTACAGAATTCAAAGTTCAAGGTGTTAGTGTTACGGACAAACCTTAGTGAGGGTTGTACTGAAATGAAAGTTCAAGTGGCGTGGTCGCAAGCCTACAAGGGGTAGGCAACGCACCTGAGCTGGTATAGATTCAGCGGCAAACACGGGGATGACATGCAGAGCAGCAGAGTCTACCAGGCGTTGAGGGATGTAGAAGGCTGAAGAGGGGGAGACCGAGAGGGGAAACGCCTGGTGGCGCGGCCATAAGGAGCGGTCGAGCTGTGCCCTGAGAGACTCTGAGAGGCGAGAGAGGGAGGAGGAGAGGTGGGTGGGGAGGTCGGCGGGGTCCAGAGTGGTGCGGAGAGGTGCGGAGGGCGGCTGGTCCAGGGGCAGTGCGAGGATATGGTCGGGGTTGGATGAATTCAGAAACCAGATTTTGGTCTGTGGGGAGGGGGGTTGGGGGGGGAGGGAGGCGCAGAAGCAGACATGAGCAAAATAAATCGCATCGCATCGCATTAAATCGCATTTTTGCCAAAAAGTGTGATATAAATGCGATAAAAAACAGTTTTTCAGGGAGTTATTGGGAGGCTTTTCATTCTGGTGCGGAAAGCGATGCGATTAAATATCGCATCGCGCGATTCTAAAAATAATCGAGGGCGATAAATCGCACTCTGAACGTGATGTGTGATTAAAAAAAATAAAATCCCGCGATGCGATTTTAAATCGCATCGTTTTTATATAAATCGCCCCACATCGCGATGCGATGTAAATCGCAATCACAATTTGACCATATCTACGCGGAAGGGAGGGCAGGGTGAGGAGGTGGGTGGGATTGGACTGGAGGCGCTCAGAAACCAGATCGTGGTCTGTAGGAGGGTAGTGAGGTGAGGGGGTTGGGAGGAAATGGGGAGCAGAGGGAGGGGAGAGGAAAAACAGAGTGAGGAAATGGGCGGGCTGGAGGCGCTCAGTCAGTATATCGACTCAGAAAGTATAACAAGATTTGCACCATGAGCAAACGGCCCAGACGGGCCAGGTCGGCTCGGACCGGACCGGAATTCTCCCGGACCTGAAGGGTCCCGGCTCGACCAGGCCGGTCCGGGTATGGCCCGCCGGGCGACGAGGTCATTCATGTCGGGCCGGCATCGTCAGGCTCGTTGGCCCAAATTCGGCCCGTTTTGAGGGCGGGCCTACCCAGCCTGCACCCCGGGCCAGGGTTGGCCCGGGAAGTCTGAGAAACCGGCTCGGTTTCTAGTCGGGCCGACCCTAAACTGGGCCTGGTCGGGCCGGGCCGGGCCGTTGCTCCTGAAGTAGCGCCTGCTTTTGAGTTGACTCAGAAGCAATTGCTGGCATTGTTTCGAGATGTAGAAATAATAATAACGATCGTGTTTCGAAACAGCATTTGCATCGGCTGCCTTGGGAACAGCGTTGCTGCCCAGCCAGAGGAAGCAAGGGAGGGAGACAGTGTGTAATGAGTAGATTTTTGAGTCGACTCAAAAATCGACTCATTACACGCGTTGCTGCCCAGCCAGAGGAAGCAAGGGAGGGAGACAGGGAAGGGAGGCAGTGGCAAACAAACCAGGACGGAAAAAGTACCTTATCAAGCTGGGCATCAGCAATAGCCCAGTAGTTGAGCACAGCGTCGTCGTCCAGCCACAGGAAGCCAGTGGCTGACGCGTGCTGCTCCATAATGGTTGGGAGAGCGGTGTAGGAGAGGGAGCCGTCGGTGTTGGTGGCGGGAGTGCTTGTGGCCTGGGAGATGGGGGAGCACAAAGGTGGGGAGATGAAGAGCAGAGAGAAGAAAGAGGAAGCCAGTGGCTGACGCGTGCTGCTCCATAATGGTTGGGAGAGCGGTGTAGGAGAGGGAGCCGTCGGTGTTGGTGGCGGGAGTGCTTGTGGCCTGGGAAATGGGGGGACACAAAGGTGGGGAGATGAAGAGCAGAGAGAAGAAAGAGGAAGCCAGTGGCTCACGCGTGCTGCTCCATAATGGTTGGAAGGGAATTGTACGAAAGGGAGCCATCTGCGTTGGCAGCAGGTGCGGAGGTGGCCTGGGGAGGGGAAAGGAGGGGAAAGGGAACACAGGGGGGGGCAGAGGCAAGCCTGAGGCAGAGGCGTGCTGCGCCATGATGGTTGGTGTGGACAATAGCACAGGTAGGGCGGGTGAGGGGGGGAGGAGGTGGTGGGAGGGAAGGAGGAGGTGGGAAGGGGAACGAGGGGGGGGAAGGGAAGGAGGGGGTGGGAGGGGAAGGAGCAGGAGGGAGGGGAACGAGGGGGTGGGAGGGGAAGGAGGAGGAGGGAGGGGAAGGAGGAGGAGGGAGGGGAAGGAGGAGGAGGTGGGGGAATGAGGAGGGGCTGGGAGGGGAAGGAGGGGGTGGGGAATGGCGTACCGCAATAACCCCGAGCTCCGGAATTGCATCAGTTGAAACTGCCACCAGTTGTTCGAAGATCCGCCCGTACACGTGCCGCCAGAACTCGAGCGTCTGCCATGCCCGCACTGGCCTGTTGTGGTGGTAAGAACGAGGAGCAGGGAGAGGCAGGTAGCGGAGACAAGAGGACACGCATGAGTTTAGAACAGAGAGCAGAGAGCAGGAGGGGGCACCAGACAGTCAAAGATGCGGCTGCACAAGGTACACGTGCCGCCAGAACTCCAGCGTCTGCCACGCCCGCACTGGCCTGGGTAGGAGTTGAGTGGAGTGGAGTGGAGTGGAGTGGAGTGGAGAGGAGAGGAGTGGAGTGGAGAGTGGAGTGGAGTGGAGTGGAGAGGAGTGGAGTGGAGTGGAGTGGAGTGGAGTGGAGTGGAGAGGAGAGGAGTGGAGAGGAGTGGAGTGGAGTGGAGTGGAGTGGAGTGGAGTGGAGTGGAGAGGAGTGGAGAGGAGTGGAGTGGAGTGGAGTGGAGTGGAGTGGAGAGGAGTGGAGTGAAGTGAAGTGGAGTGGAGTGGAGTAACTCCCCAAACAGCCGCCCTAGGGAATAACCTGCCTGCCTGTGAGGAGTTCATTGTCTGGGCGTTCCAAAAATAATCTCCAAGAAGCCCCTCTAAAAAATAGCTCGCCCGGGTTAGTGCAGCCCGAGAACCACCCCTCGGAATAGCTCCCTCCACTGCTGACTCAACGATTTCCCCTAAGGAACACTCCCCCACTTCCCGGCCCCTCGCCCCCAGCCCCATCCCCCCTGCCCCCCCCCCCCCCACCCTGAACTGACCTGGGTCAGCGCCGCCCGAGAACCACCCCTCGGATCGGAAATTCTCCCTCCACTGCGAGGTGACTTTTGAGTCGACTCAAAAGTCACTGCTGACTCAACGAGTTCCCCCACTCGACATCCCCCCACTCGACATCCCCCACTTGACATCCTCCCACTTCCTGACTTTGAGTCGACTCTCCCCAAGCCCCATCCCCCCTACCCTAACCCCCCCACCACCCCGATTTGACCTGGGAAAGTGCAGCCCGAGAACCACCCCTCTGAAAAACTCCCGCCACTGCTGACTTAAAGAAAACCCCCTACCTCCCACCTCTCCCCCCCCTCCACCCTCTCCCTCGTTCCCCCTCCTTACATAATCAGCTCCTGATATAACCCCCCCTCGCCCCCCACCCCACCACCCCGAGCTGACCTCGGAAAATGCAGCACCAGAACCACCCCTTGAAAAAACTCCTTCCACTGCTGAAGCTTCCGCGCGCCTTCCCTCAGCCTGTTCGACACCCCCCCTCCACCATCGTCGTCGTCATCATTCTCCTCGTCCTCATTCTCCGTGGCGAGCCCCTTATCCCCGTTACTAGCATTCTCCTTATCGTTACTAGCCTTCTTGTCATTGTCGTCCGTAGCTGTGGTTGTGGCCCTGCTACTGCTTGCAGCGATGGTGGCTGCTCCTTGGGTCTGTGGGGAAGTGGGGGATTCGAAGGGGGGGGGGGGGGGGGGGGGGGGGTGAGGGGGGTGGGGGGGTTTGGAAGATAACGCTTTTGAGTCGACTCAAAAGCGTGGCTGTGGCGCTGCTACTGCTTGCAGCGATGGTAGCTGTTGCTTGGGCCTGTGGGGAAATGGGGGGATTCGAAGGGGGGGTGGGGGAGGAGAACGCGCCATTGAAATAACGGTCCTCTTATCAACCCATTGAAATAATGGTCCTCTTATCAACCCATTGAAATAATGGTCCTCTTATCAACCCATTGAAATAATGGTCCTCTTATCAACCCATTGGTGGCGGAATTTGAGACGGCCTGATGGGCAATGGGTGGATTCGAAGGGGTCCTGTGCGTGGGGGTGGGGGTGGGGGTGGGGTGGGGGTGGGGGGGGAGGGGAGGGGGACGAGATGCATCATTGTGCAAATGGTCTTCCTTGGTGTAGATGCATCGGTGGTGGAATTTGAAGGGGTGTCATGGAATAGGATGGCCAGAAACAGGTGTGGTGGAGGTGGTGGTGGTGG